TGGGAAATGCGCTGCTCGGAAATGGAAATATCTTTCGAGCGATGCAATTGGCGACTCCCTGAGCTCGATGCCGCTTGCTTCGGTATGCCGTCTGCCGCTTCGCGTTTTTGGTGTAAGAGCAGCAGGATGCGTTTTCCTGGCATGGGTCAAGTTGGACGCATTTGGGCAGAACAAGTAAAACCCAGTCCCCACTCAGCTGTCTGGTCCTTCGCATTTGCAGGTAAAACCGAAACCTACAAATTTCTGATGACTACGACGTTTGCATTGGGCACCACATGTTGTGTGTGTGTGGAAACAAAATGGACTGCTCTTTCCATGACCAAGAGAGGTGGCAAGATGCCAAAAGACTCCCGGTCTTCCTTGCATACAGTTCACATTCCCTGGCAGCCTGGCATGAAGATGAGCTCACCTACGAAGAGACATCATTGCCAGGATCTTGGCCCACATTGCACAAAGGTGTGACTACATATATCCTTTGCTGTCCTGTTCAACATCCTCTTTGACAACGCCAGTTCCGCAGATTCCCTGCAAAAACATAGCACTTGTGTGCCCCCAGAGCCCGCCGGCCCAATCTGCCTGGTGCCGCAGCAAGAGCGACTCCCCCGGAGCGCTGCAGGCGAAACCTGCCGGCTGCCACAGAGCCTCCGGGACCTGAGGCCAAACCGGGCAAGCCATGCGCTCGTGCGAGCGACTTTTTTCTTTTGGAACTTCCTGGCGGGTGAATGAGGAAGGGCCCGAGTAGAATGGTTGGACAGGATCTGCAAATGTTGCGCTCGTCCTGCAACTGGACAATGAAACCCCAAAGCTCATTGATCCCGCGAACGCAGCACCTTTGGTCCCGATCGCAATCAATCCTGGTCAGGGGACCTCTGCTTGGCAGGCTGCGATTTTCATGCTGGGGTTGCCTACAGCTGTGGTAGACTCCAAGCTGTCCATCCATTCGGCCATGGTGCTGCGTCCAACTTCCGTTCGACAAAGTCTTCATAGTCTTCTGGCGCATCCTCACCAGGAGTTGTCCACATGGTATTGGCATGGTCAGTCGCGGAACGGCATTTCGAAAGCCTGTCAAAAAGTGCTGCACGAGAGCCAGCGAGCGAGCCAGCCAAGCGTGCGATCGTGCGCATGGGCGGACCACCGGGCGGACGCATCGCCACACGCAAATGCACGTTGGCAGGTGGTTGGGCAGGTGGTTGCATGTGCGTCTGTTCATTTGTGTTTGCGCGTGTGACCCTGTGCATGTGCATTTCTGCGTGTGTGCGTCTGTAGTTGTTTTGTGTTTTTGTTTGTGCGTTTGCGACTGCGTGTGCATGTGCTGTGGGTCTGCTAGACTAAGGTTCTAGTTCTGGAGTGGGCTTCTCTCAATGTCCATGATTGCGATGCCCACTCACTCTGCACACCACCCCCCTACCCGGAAAAAGCGCTGTGACGTGAGCTTTCTCGCGCGAGTGCGCAGGGAGAACTGGGTGATGGATGCAGTTCTGCGATCCGGGTCTGGTGATTTCAGCATTTTGCCGGCTGCCATGTCTCATGGTAACCCGCATCCAGCCACATGAACCCAGAAAAGGGTCTGATAAACATGGAAAAACATGCACCGGGCCTTTGAAAGACGAAGCCCATCTTTCAAAACGGCAGGGTGCACCCGAGTCCTCTGGCTCCAAAGGAGTATCGCTGTAAGCACGATGACCCACTGCCTTAGGGAGAAGCGCAATTCGCAAATTCATAGGGTCCCTCGAAAGAGCATAGCAAAAAGCTTATGCTCATCCTTGTTCCTGTGTCGTCTTGCTTGCGTTTCTGGATGTGGCCATCGCTGCCTCGTCCAAATGTTCGTAGCAATCGCGCAAGTGCGCGTGATCCTGCAACATACCTTCCTCTGCCTTTCCGCAAATCCCAGGCTCAACAACACCTATGCAGAATTACCTGTGCAAGCAAACCTCCAGCGAGTCACGTTTGAAAACACGTCTGGCTGAAGTCCATCTCTGCCACAGTGAAACATGCTGTCGAGACATGCAAGCCAAGTCCACGGCACGCTCCGCAACGAGCAAGCTCACCTCATGTCAATACCATGTGTTATGTGGTACTCCAAAAGTCGAAGCCTTTCACTGTCGCAGTTTACGTGTGACATACAAAAAGACTGAGTGCTGGGCAAAACATAAAAGTGTCCGCTGCATTAAACTTCCTGAGTTTGCAGCACGAAAAAGATGAAATTGCACATGCCGCTCGCATGCAACAAGGCCCAAGTCCGTAGGCAACAAACAAAATGAACTCCTCACAAATTGCAGGCAAGCATCGCACGATCGCATAAACATGTCATGAATCAGCTACCGGGTAGCGGTTTCACAAAGAACGAGCTTGAACCACAAGCTACAACCCCACGGCACGCCAAACCATCACTTCGCATCCAAAGGGTGTGTTCTTTGCAGGTACCTGTTTGGGGTTGATTTCAAGAGAGGGAGAAAGACCAAGGGCCACATGGCCCCATGATAGCCCCTCAGCTAGCTTTGGCTACAGCTTCGTTGCATATGCTTGACCTTCAGTTCGACCGCGCCCAGTTTTTGAAGCCCTGCAACTCTCGATATGTTCGATTCATCCGGCACGGTTGTCGTGCCGGCCATCCAACGTCCCGTGCTTTGGTCACATCATGAAGCAAGCAGATTGCGCCGTGGCCCGGGCTCGAATGGAGAGTTGAAGCGAGATAGATGCCCAAAATCTAGCCCTGATTGCTTAGAGATCGCGAACGTAAGTCAGTCAGTCAGTAGCTCAGGAAGTTAGTACGTCAGTAAATCAGTAAGTCATCAAGTCAGTAAGCCAGCTAGTTTGATAGAAACAGGCACATTGATAGAGGAGGGTATTGGTCAGGGTTCACAGGCGAGGACAAAAATCAATCAGAGTCCTGCCACCTTTCGGCCTGTCAGGCGATCACACTCACAAACATATTGTACGACACGCCATCTCTTCCTATCGGTCTCGTTTTTCCGCCACCGTCTTGTGCGGTACATATGTTATAATTTGCGTATACTTTAAGATTATACAATATGTGTTTTCTATTGTGGTATGATACAGTGGTCTGTCTTTTGAGCCACCAACAGTCACACCACGACCATCCTGCAGAGCGGCAGGTCAACGTTCAAGGTCTCGGACTTTCTTCTTGGACAATCTGAAGAGACAGTCACTTGAACATTTGCAAAACTTTTGAATGAATCTTCCCACAGAATGATCTGCCCAGAATTCCCAAGTCCAATGCGCAAAAACGCAGTTTTTGCTCACGTCCGATGCTCAGCCGCGGGCAGCAAAGGCGAACGAAGTGCATAGATGTGAAGGTCTTCGCCTGTCCTCATTCGAGGAGGAAAGCAACAAATGGCTGGAGTCCGCCTGGAACTGTCCATCTTGAGCCAGTTCAAACGAACTCAAAACATACCCATGGCAGCCCACTTTTCTGTTTGAGCCCGCTGGCCCCGGCCACGCCCAACCCCGCCTGCTTCGTCCAGCGCGTCCAGGTCTTCGCCAACGGCCAGCGCTGCGACGACATAAACTACTATGGCCGCACCGTGGCCGTGCACGACCTGCTGAAGGGCCGAGAGTACAACCGCAACAAGGCCATGGAGGGTTTCGACGAAGTCGACGACCCTCGCATCGCCCGCGGTGCACCAGAACGGCTACGCGGATGTGCTGCTGCGCCCCACCATGGTGGGCATCCTGCGCTGCGGCAAGATGCTGCCGCCGCAGCTGAACCTGGTGATCGAGATCGAGTTCGCGGACGCCACGACTGCGCTGTGGTCCGAGAACGCCGGCAGGAGCCACGCTGAGCACCGACTTCGAGATCCAGAACGTCCGAGTTCTGGCCTCTCAGGTCGTCTTGGACTCGGCGCTGGTCGAGTCCTTCAACCGGGCGCTCCTCTCAGGAAGGTCCCTCGTGTTCAGCTACCCCACGGTCTCCGCGCGGAGCACAACGTCACCGTGGCGCGGCTTCACTGGGCGCGTTTGTGATTTTCTGGGACAACGAGATCCACTTGTCGGCCAACCCGGGGCAGGATGTGGCCCCCATCGGCGCAGCGAGGCAGGAGGACAGCCTCCTGGAGTCGCAGATGCAGCTGGGCAGCCCAACCCCATGAAGGGAGCCTCGGAGCACTTCCACTTCCTCTCGGTCCTTGCGGGGACGTACGACGACACGGCGCGCAACATCGACATCGGCCGTGCGGGCTACCTGCGCCACACCTTCGTTGCCGGCTTCCCGACCGAGCGCGTGCCCAAGATGGGGTCAGCACCCGCTCGGGCGTCCTTGCTCGGTTCACCTTCAAGGGACTGGACGGCACGATGACGGACCTGTTCATCCACCTGGTGGCCTACCAGCTGGTGACGCTCTCCGGAACGGGCGTGTCCGTCCTGGACTAAAAACTGCATGGCACCCAACTCGCCGTCCAGTCCGGGCAGGAATCGAGCCGCGCGGAGTAAGAAGCGGTTAGTTCCTTGGCCGACGCCTTAGCCACTGGACTAAGGCGTCGGCGAAAACATATGTAAAGATGTTTGAAGGACCAGTCACCGGCAACATCCCGGACGTCCTGGACAACGGAGAGGTGATGGAAGGCACGCACGTCACTGCAGGGCAGCTGGCCCTCGCTCTGACGCCCTACGCGCAAGTGGCAGACCTGGCCATGAACACGGCAGCCTCCGGCAACAATGCAGCTGCCATCCAGTCCCTGGACGACCGGGTCACTGCAGAGCTGGCTTCGAAGCTGGACAGCGGACTGGCGCCGGCAATCGCACCTCTGGCCACGGCAGCAGCCCTGGCCACCACGAACGGGCAGGTGGCTGCGCACGGGAGCAGCATCGCAGCGCTGCAGAGCTCTCTGACCACGGGTCTCTCGAACAAGGCCGACCAGTCGGCCTTCGACGTGCTGGAGGGCGTGGTGGCCACGAAAAGCACCCCCGACGGCGTGGACCTGAAGCTGTCAAACTACAGCACCACGGCAGCCATGAACGGCTCCATCGCCTCGGCAAACAACGCCACGCTGGCCACGGTGGCCGCCAACTACGGCCTCAAGACGGTGGTGCCAGCACTCCCTCGACATTGCAGCAAGGATCACGCCGCTGGAGGTCGACACCAAGGCGGCCAACGCTCTCCTGGGCGTCGTCACCGCCGCAGCGCTGGCCTCCGAGCTCGCAAGTCGAGACGCCTCCATCTCGGGGCTGCAGGCCTCCAAGGCAGACGCCAGCGCCCTGACCGCATACTGCAGTCGGCCGTCGACACTTCCTTGGAGGTGGACTCTAAGATAGCAGCCGCCCTCCTGGACGCAGTCACCACGGCAGCCCTCGACGCCGCCCTCGTCGGCAAGGCGGACGCAAGCGGCGCTCCAGGGCGCCAAGGCCGACGCGACGCTGCTGGCCTCGTACGCCACGAACGCCGCGCTCTCAGCCAGCGAGACCGCGCTCCAGAGCGCCCTCGACGCAATCCTCGCGGACCTCGCCGCCCTGCAGCTTTCCGGAGGCGGAATTGTTAACGCGCCGGCCTGGGCGGGGTTCACGCCTTGGGAGCTCGTTCGCGGAAGCAACGTCGTTCGCAACCTGCATCTGCAGGCTCCTCTCTCTGCTGCGCTGGCCAACGGCGACGACACGCTGAGCATCACGGCCGACTGCTACTCCGTCGCAGCAGCGGACGCGGCCCTCGCAGCTGCGCTGCTGGCCTACTACACCTCGGCGCAAGTGGACGCGCTGTTGGTCGACTACCGAACGGGAACGGCGCAGGACGCGGAGACGAGCGCCATCTCGGCTGCGCTGCTGCCCTACTACACCTCGGCGCAAGTGGACGCCCTGTTGGCCGACTACCGCACGGCGAGCGCGCAGGACACGCAGACGCAGGCAGCCATCGCGGGCGCGCTGCTGGCTTACCGGCCGGGCCCGGACCAGGACGTGTTCACGACCAACCAGATCACCTCGGCGCTGGTGGCGTACCGCTCGGCCGCCGACCAGGACACGGCGACGGCCTCGAGCATCGCCGCCGCCCTGCTCAGCTACTACACCATCGCGCAGGTGGACGGTTTGCTGACCGGCAAGCTCGGAGTCACGGAGGCAGCCTCGGCGCTGGAGATAGCCGTGCGCTTTCCGGACGACGGAGGGGCCGACGAGGTGGTGGCCGCCATCGGCGAGCAGATCCTGGGCCCCACGGACGTCTCACTGGCAAACTGGACGGTTCGTCCCAGCAGCGGACGCAGCGTGGTCCTGGCCACACGCACCGTGGGCGCAGTGAGCGTGGACGGCTACACCCTGACCCTGGCAGTGAACCCGCCCGGCCGAGAGCTCCGATATCGGCTCGGCACGGCCTCCAACTTCGTGGTGCACATGTCCGAGGCCGACAACGTCTACGACCCCCTGTACGGCAGCTTCGCGGGTGACCAGGGCGCCTGGAGCACGGCCAAGATGTACTTCACCGTGCCGCCGAACGGAATTGCAAAGCTGCACTTCGGGGCGCACTTTCAGGCGCTGGGGTGGAGGTCTATGACCTACCAAAGACCACCCCCCAGTTGGATAAAATCCCCTCAACCGACCAATTCACATAATATTTTTTCATCATTTCATAACAGAACCTCAACTCAAGATTTGATACATAAATTTTGGGAATATATTTATTCAATAATAGGAAAAACAATATCAAATATATAGATAAGGATGATACAGATAAATATGTAGATTACATGTTTGAAGACATATTGCCTGACCATTATTTTAACCCATAAACCTTACAATAAAAACATTGTAAGATTTATGATTTCAAAATGACTTGAAGAAATAATAACTTAATATATTATAGTGAAATGAGTGATACAGTCGGTATCAATGCTAAAAATATATTGAAAAACAAGTTTATGAGTTATAAATGTAAAGACTTTGAAATGCTGAAATTACCAATTGAACGGGGTTTTGCAAATGGCGTTTGTAATAATATTTGTCAATATATGATATGCAATAATTGCAATAGAATTATAAAAAAAAATCATGATATGAATAACAAAGATATTGATATTATACATAATGAAACTCTTGATGATGATTTAGAAATATTTGTGTTTATGAAATGAATAATTTCTTAACTATAGAAGGGTTTGATCGTTTATTAGAATGTGACGACGAAGGATATAATAATGAATCTATTTTTAAGTATTATTGTATGGTAAAAAGATTATACAATATGTCTTTTAATATTAAACGTTTAAACTATGTTGTATTGATTTATTTTTTAAATGAGTTTTTAAATGATGAGTATAGAATTGACGAACTTAGATATACAATAACACATGCAATTAGAACAATGGGATTGTTTAGAACAAAAACAGGAAGTAATATTTATAGTGAAACAACATGTGATAAAATA